AGAGCAGACAGAGCTCAGGGGAGCCGCACAGCGTTTTGTCTCCACAACGCATGATGACAGACCTGCTCCTCTTTTGCATCAGGACCGCTCACCTGTATCCTAGCAACCGCCTCCCTGCTGTGGCAGCCTCTCCACGTAGTGATGAGCGAGAGATCAGGAGTGCACGGAATGATAATTTCTCTTCTCTTTACTTTTCTTCCCTTCTTTTTCTCTTCACATCTCTTGCTTTCTCTTCTCCTTTCATCTTTTTTTCTCTTCTCATTTCTTTTCTTTTCCACTTTTCATATTTTCCTGTCTGCATTTTTATTTGCTCTCTTCTTTTTTTCTTAACTTCTCTTCCCTTCTTTTTCTCTTCACATCACTTGCTTCCTCTTCTGTTTTCATTTCATCTCTACCTTTCTCTTTTCACCTGTTCTCATTTCTTTTTTCTTTCTCTTTTCTTTTTCACTGTACATCTCTTCTCATTTTCATTTTTCTTCTCTTCTTTTTTTCTTTTCATTTGCTCTCTTCTCTTTTTTCTTCACTTTTTTCTTATTTCCCTTCTTGTCCTTTTTCGTTTCTTTTTGCCTTCTTTTTTACCTTTCATTTGCTCTCTTCTCTTCTCATGACAGAACAGACTTGTGTGTATGAGATATTCACAAGTTGCTTCTTGTGAGTTAGAGTCAAGTCTCAAGTCTCTGGGTTTCAAGTACAAGTCAAGTTTATACTCTCCTATACTTTCCTGATTGTCCACCGGCCAGTTTCACACAAAATGTAGACGGACCCACAAATCCACCAATTACGCACAGTGAGAGGTAGATGACGTGTATCTCAATCCCTCTTCATAGCCTCATAACTGTTGATTTGAGTCACATACAATCTTGTAATAAGATGGAATAAAAAGGGCAAACTGTACAGATTCAGGAAGTGTTTGAATCTTATTTCTGCACTGTATTATTATTATTATTAAAGAGGAACATATATAGAAACATCAAATCTGCTGTGCAGGTGAGTTTGTGGAGCCCAGACGGTTAAAACATCGAGCCTTTCATTATAGAAATACCTTCAATTTGACGGAGAGAACTGAAACGCTAGACACAGTAAACACTGTGTTTAAAGAAAAGAGGCAAAACAACTCAAAACTCGGTGGACTAGCCTGTAGTATGCATGGCAACTATGCTAAGCTAGCTAGTGTAAAAGTTGATCCAGCTGAAATTTTGTACAAAGAGAGGCTTGTTATTTTAAAGTGTGTAGAACTTGATGTTGGTGAATGACCGAAACTTAGAAAAACTGACACACAAAGTCATACACTTTGGCAACCATGGCAACAAAAGGTCTTGTTGATTTTCCTCATTAACGTTGGCACTGCTAATTTAATCCATTTTGTTTGAGTTTAGTTCTTATGCTGAAACTTCAGGAGTCTTCAGTCTGACCAGTGTGACTCCAAGTGATGACTCAAATTCCATCTCTGGTGTGTGGTTATAGGCCATGGAGAGCATGTGCGTTATGTTTTTTTTTTTTCCAGAGTGTACATCTCTCTCTCTCTCTCTCTCTTTCTCTTTCTCTCCCTCTCTCTCTCTCTTGACTGTGTGGTTTTGGAGAGGTCCCGCTGCAGTACCTGTGGCAGTAATTCATCCCTGCAGGGGAGACGAGGCAAAGCGGAGTCTTTTAAGCAGCCGTAAAGGATGAGGAAAACAAAAATAACTCCTCTCCTTCTCTCCTCCTCTCTCCTCCTCTGCCTTCTCTCACCCTGCTGGTCCCAGGACAGTTGAGTTGGTCTCAGTGGAGCTGCAGTCGCTGTCTGCATTAGTGAAAGTGCTGTGGCGGCACATTTCAGTGTGTTAAGTTAGACACACACACACACACACACACACACGCACATGCACAACAGAGGCCGGAGGGAGAGAGTGTCAGCTCACCTCGGTCGCCGCACAATTAAAGTCTTTGGTTTTACTAACTATAAAGGAGATTCAAACAAACAGACTCCTAAAGAACTCCAAACCCATATTCAGTGGATATTAAAATAGCTTACAGTGTAAACACGGCAAACGGTTCACAGCAGAAATTTTTCTCATAACCGTTAAACACCTAAAGTTATTAGTAGTATGACTCTGCACAACAATAACTTTCCTCAAATTAAAATCATAATAAAACACCATGTATTTGCTATTGCCAAGGATAATGACTTCGAAGGATCAAATCTGACCTACGCTGCAAGAAAGTTTTGTCAACGGCCTATTAGATTGGCCAAAGGGGCTTCTCTATAATAACTGACAACGCAAAAAGACTTGTTTTTGTCTTGGAAGCTATGACAAGCCTTTTTATTGGTCACAATATGAAGATACCACCTGTTTGCCTCTGGCTATTGTGGACAGAAATCTCAAGCATCGGTGTTTGTGTGATGCTCGCTGGGCTTGTAAACTAAGCTGCCGTTCCATTCAGCTGGACAGACGGCTGTGCAGAGTGGAGGGGGGCCGGTGGAGCCTGAGGGGCTGCCGGCTGATCCAGCATAAAGGCACACGGAGCACTCAAGGACGCAGAAAAGGCATGTGGATATTTGAATACAGGAGCAGAGACGGAGGGGGCAGAGTGAGGGTGCTTGTGCTGATTCCTGCACTTGCTGACTGCCCCATCTGTTGAGCATGGTCTCGGGGGAGCTGGTGGGCAGGGCTGGATGACACATCTGCCCTCAGCTCAGGGCTTTTAGAGGGGGACACATAGGGGACATGAAGGGGACAGAGGAGCATGGCTGGAGCTGAGCTTTGTGGTTCAGGTGGAGGATTCTAATAAGGGTCATGTAAAACTAACCTTAGTTTCTCTCTCTTTCTTTCTCTCTCTCTCTCTCTCTCTTACAGTACAGTTGCACCAACAGCATCAGAAATACATGGGGTGATGTTATTTGAATATATACAGTGGGTGAAAATGCTCATATTTTGCATTCTTTTCTAATTTAATAAATTTTTTTAATACAAATGATATTGTCAGCATAACTACAAGAGTGAAAGGTACAATCTTTGAATGTTTACATGAATTTCTGAACTTATTAATATTTAGTACCTCCCTCTTTTGCTTTAGTGACAGAGTCCTCTCAAGCTGGCATAGACTCCATAAGTTTGTCCAAAAGCCTCTGATCAGTAGATCAAATCCACCTTTGACTATGTTGAGTCGAAGCAATCAGCAATCAGCCAATTTATTCTTTTGATTTTGGCTAATCTCTGACACAGATAACATGCACTCACACTGTATCTGAATGCTTCTGTAACATTTATACCAAAAAAATTAGGCACTACTCATGCCAGCTTGTTGCCTCTTATTTTAGACGAAGCACTTCATTTCACATAAATTAATTAGGCAATTCATTATTCATTGTTTGTTATCTTCCTTACAGCTTTGCCAAATTAAAAATATTCATGGCGAATATGACTGTAAAAAATCAGAATCAGTCATAAAACTGGCCATCAGTGCACCTCTAATTATATCCAGCTTCGTAATATTGATTCAATTAATCAGATATGTAAATAAGACGTTTGTAGTTTAGAACACAAAAACAATAAAACAAATATGTATTATGTTGTCATTTGTCATTAAATTGGAAACAGTATGAATTATTTTCTAGGGATATTTAAAAACTATAAATTTCAATATATAAACATTCAAGCTGCAAAAATGGCTAAAATGCTTATCCCTAGTAGAAATTATGGCACCTCTGCAAGCAACTGACAAACTAAAGAAACATGGCAGCTAGCAAATGGTGATATTTAGGCTACAGCAGAAGACATGTTTGCTGTGTAGAGATATTTTTTCTTAAATTAAATTAAAACATATTAAGTGGATCTGCTACTTCCAAACACTTGAGATCACAGCATGTGAAAAAATACAAAGAGTTTATAACCAACAGTAATGCTAAGAGAGTCGCTCAGCTAACCCTGGAACAGACATGTGCAAGACGTGAAAACGTATCTGACAGCAGAAAGGCAACAGGAATTAATGGAATTCATAACATTTGACAGCCAAATCCTTAGCTTTGTTGAAAACTGGTTAAACATTTTGAAAAGGAATCCATGGCCTTCTAGAGCACACTTAACCAAGGTAAGTAATACCTAGGAGGCACTAATATCACACTGGACCTAAAAAAAAATGGTACCCGTACAAACTTATCCGCTCATATCGCTTTTACTAGCAGCGTTCCATTGTCCTTACGCCCATTGACCCCATTTATATCTTCAGAATGGGCTTAATGACTTGAGAAGAGTGAGGACTTAACTCTACTCCTCCACTGTATCACTGCACAATGAAATGCAGCATGGGATATATGAAGCTAAGGACCTCTTTTTCATCACCTTGTAACCATCTGCTAAGTTTGAACACAAAACCATGTCAAAGAGGTCAAAGAGTCTGCTGAGAAAATAATAACCCTCTCAACGATGTCCTTCACAGCCCTAGTTTCAAGCCAAAGAGCTGCCCTTTGCTTTGGTATGGAACAGTAATGAAGTATGGAGTAGCTACGAGTGGGCCAATGAATAATGCAGCCCATCAGAGAACTGTAATCAGAGGCTTCTAGCAGAGGCAGATTGGGAGGAATCAGCTGGAGAACTTTCCTCCTCAGGCATATCCAATAAAGAGCGGAAGCATCTGGATTAATCAGTACAACCATGGGAACGTACACACACGCACCAGCACGTGCACATGTTTAGATTGAGCAACCAGGGAACTACTTGTGTATCTAGGCATCAAACGTCACGATCACTACCAGCAGACCAAACAAGTACAAGCATTACAATCTACAAGTACAAGTACAATCTACAAGCATTTACAGAGGATTCTGGATAACATGCAACACTCAGTGAACAATTCAACCACTCTACTGAGTAACTACAGCTATCCCACCAAACTACACACTTTAAAATAAAGGCATCAAGGGTTTCTGGGAGTAACGTCAAAGGAAAAACACATTTGGTTTCCTAGAGAACTATTCAGTGGGTGTCGTTTTTGTAAATCAGATCTGTGAATGTGGTGCTTACCAATAAAGTAGGATAGCAGGATGGCCAGCAGGGCGGCAGCAGCGATGGCTGTCACAGCTGCACATTTCCAGCTGCAATACTTCGAAGGCTTCTTCAGTTTGAAGGCGCTTCGGGAGAAGGTGTTTCTGGGCAGAAGTCGTGGTGGGGGTGAATACACCGTGCCAGAAGTCAAAGGGTAACCTGGTGATGAGCTGCTGAAGAGGGGCGTGGTCCCCGATGATGTCTTAAACAGGAAGTGCCTGGTGAAGAGCAAGAGAAAAGGAGATAAAGTGAATGTTTCTATGATTTTACAGAGTAAAGAATCAACATTGTAATACCTGAAATTAACTGTGTAGAAGAACTAATCAGCAGGTCCAGATTTCCACTCCTCACTCTCTATATACCTTATAAAGTAGTTTCACAATAGTTAGTGAGTCATTCATAGTAGTTGCTGGACCTTGAAAGTCAACAACAAAAGCATTTGATATGAATTATTTCTCATTTGTATCTAAAAAAAAAATAAAGAACCTTTAATTGCTACTATTGTGTTTGTATGTAGAAATTAAATTTTATTATGATTTTGATCTGATGAAAAGTTGTGCAGAGTCTGTTTTGCACAAAAAAACACCTTTACATTTTTGCCATGTTTCTGTTGTTTCTTGATATTGAAACAAACAGAAGTGCAGACTCAATTTTGTCCATAGAGAATGCAAATCAAATGTAAATGTAAATAATTCTGCAAATAACTACACAGCTAAATATTCAATTACATAATTGCTAAGGATTCTTCGAAATGGGAATTGTGGGCCGATGCCCGTATCCAATATTTTTCATGTATATATCTGCTGATGCCAATACTGATGTTGATATGCATTTAGAAAATGTAGAAACTGGGACCATATCTATTAGTATTACAGAGAAATGAGCTACAAAACACGCTGCCTTAGCAAGTGAAGTTATTTTAAGTCTAGCTAATTTTAAGAAAACATGCAAAATGATGTGCCAATACAGTGACATAATCTGACTTACTAAAATCACTTAAAAAAGGACAAAAATATCTAGAAATAAGTTAAATAATCTTAAAATAAATTTACAACAATCTTTTATTAGGTATATTAACAATATTTAAGCTTGTCACTTGCCAAGATGCCATTTTTGCAGTCTATCATTTATTTATGGAGGGTTACAAATGCAATGAAATGAATAAAATGCAGTCATTTTAGCATAGCAACCCAGCGTTGCCCAAACATTCTGCTCTTCCGGAACACAATCATCCTCAATATCAATGTCAGTTTGAAATACTGGTCAAATTCAAAAGTCTGATGCTGATAAATAGTGTTTTTTTAGTGCAATTATCACCCCACAGAGATAAGAGTGCAATATCATATACATCCCTAATAACTGCATTTGAATTGAATGGCAAAATGAAGATATTAACTCTCGATTTGTAAAGTTAAACCTTAAGATAACAAACTGAATAATAAGTCTAGAGTTTAAGGGGGAATTGCCTGGTGGTGTTAGAGTATGGAAGAGACACAGTGAGAAAGGGTTAACGTAAAAAAAAAAGAAAAAGAAAAATCTCTGTGGTCTTATTGAACAGACAATAAAGGTAGAGAAGATAAAGGATATAGTGAGAGTGAAAGTCTGAGGTCAAATCAATCCTGAGGTTCAGAAGTGTAGTGACTGTCTCTCTGGAGTTGCCCCCCCTCATACTCGGTGGAGGCTTCAGAGCGCTGCAGGGGGGCAGTGGGGTGAAGGACACCGTGTCCAACGTGACTCAGTGGACATATGGCACATGGACATACAGCGCTGCAGGCCTGCTGCTGGCCCACCAAGGGACACTTACACAACACAAGCACTCAATAATTCAGGAGGCTCCAGGTAGAGCACACACACACATACACACACATAATCACCCAAATCACACACACGCTCTTGCCTTTTAAGAGGCAAAGCAGTGGTGAAAAGACTCTGACGAAGGTGTTGCTGAAAAGGAAGCGATTCATAGAAAGCTCTGGTTTTTCTTGAGAGAGCCAAATAAGCTTAATTGTTAATTTGCCACTGACATACAGTACACATCACTGAATGAGTTTGGGATTACTTGGATTACCTCTCACTGTATTTAACTGCTTTACATTCCAGGCTTATTACATACTAAAGCTTACTATTCATTACCTACAAGGACTTAAAATTAATGCGAACTAATGGAGCTTTTCTCAAGTTACAGAAGTGTTCGTATCTATTCTAATGATATACAATGTTTTTACAAGCAAAAACACACTAATTATTGCCAAGACAAGTGGCTTTAAACAATGTGCTTAAGTGTCTAAGACTTTTGCACAGTAACGTATCTTTCCTAATATCAAAAAAAATATATAATTTGTACATAATGGCAGCTCTGACTAGAAATAAAATAAAGGGTGGACTCTGATTCTTGCTCAGTACTGTATTCCGTAAAGAAGTAAACTGCAGAGCACTTACTGACACTAAAGCACTCTCTAAACAATTTCCTCAAGAATCTGAACTCATTACTCGCAGGGGAATGTCTGCAATTATTCCTAAACTAATTTAGCGGCAAAAACACTAGAGGTCAAGAGCGCTAATGTCAGTAATAAACACTTTAAAGGCCTCCAGTGAATGCATTTTGCCAACCAGAGCAATGTCTGTATGAATACTCAAGGAGTTACATTCATCATATAATTCGTCTCGTGGTAAAATTCCTTTCTAAATGATACTTATGATTTTGTAAGTGTTTTATTGCTATGATAAATATGGAAGTTTTAAGGACTATGTTTCTGTATTCCACACCAACTCTGTAAAGCTCATTCAAGGCTCTCTGCAGATGTACGACAGGTGCAAGTGGCTTTTTCAGCCACCACTCCAACGATCACTCTACATCTATCAAAGCAATGTAAATATTTTTAAAAGCTTGAAATGTGAACAGGATCCTACATGGTATAGCTTATACAGGCAGAAAGAGCTTCAGTGACACCTGCACCCAGGGGAGCGTGAAGCTATAAGTAGATGCTCACAGGGACAAACACACTGTGTCAGAACAGAACGGTCCTGTCAATTGAGTATCTTTTTTAGTCCCTCTGTGAATTTTCAAAATAAATGCACAGAACATTTAAAAAGATGTTTAAATTCAAGTCTTATGTTCTGTATGATTGGGTTGATACATGCGTCTTTTAGAAGCTATTGCCCTTTAGCAGTTATCACTGATGATGATAACTTTACATTAATTATTTCTCACACATAGCTCTTTGAAATAAGAGGGGAATTTCTATTACATATGTAAGTCAATATGCAGGATAACATCTGAATAGTGTAGAAAAAGAAAAAACTTAACGGGTTAATAAGGGTTAATTGCAAAAACATTCTTTTCCATTAAGAACTTATTTCAAGCAAAAATAATGACATGTAAATTACATCTCACAGTGCATGTGCATGTTACTGAAACCTATTTGCTCTGCTGAAGGATGGAATGAGACCAAGAAGTCACATGATAAAAAGAAAATCAATATTCTTTAACAGCATGGCCAAGAGGAAAGCAAATCTCTGCAGGGTGAATGAGTTAAAGGACACTTATACCAAATTACACATAAAACAACACTCCACCCAAAATTAAAAAAACTTAACCATGGCTATGTATGTTGTAAATATGCTTATTCACTTCCTACAGCAGTGCCGTGGCCTCTAGAGTGAGATTTTCCAGCTTCCAGATTAGGGAATCCCTATTCTGATGATGTATCTTAAAGCAGGAAGGAAGGACTACAACTACTTTGGGTTGTATTTTTCGGGGTGGACTTGTGAACGCAGAAGAAACTGAGGTAACAATTCGGAAAGTCCACTTTAGAAGCTTTGTAGATACTTAATTTACTTTCAAGTTACATTCAAGTAAATATCTACTAAACTGACTATAATTTTCTTTAACTCTAAACCTGCTCTTACCTTAACCTTAACCTCAACCCTAAACCTAAACCCAACCCTGGTCCTAGCCCTGACCCTGGTCCAAATCCTAACCCTAACCCCACCACTGTTCAGAATCAACTGAGTCTCAACAGATACTTTGTTAACAATTTAAAACATCTGTAGAAAAGACTGTAAACTGTAAACTGAAACTGTAAAAACGTGTCTCTGGTGTCTATTTAGTACTCAACAAAGATAAAATTCTTTTTTCTTTATTTTGTTTGTCAAACGAGGTAAAAGTTAAACTGACGCTAGCCTGGTTACATTTATTAGAATATAGATCAGTAGCTAGGCTAGCTGTCAGGATTGGTTGACACCCCAGGGATTGCCAATGGATGTATGATTTATATGCGCAATGCATGCTGGGTGTTGTAGTCTGAAAACACTGATGAATGAAAACATAAAAATTAAATAAAATCATGTATTCTGTCATGAGGGACATAAACCTGTGCTACACAACATGACAAATACCATATTAAACACAAGTTTTAGACTGGAGTGCATGCACTCTTTGAAAGTTTATGGTTGTACTCCACTGACAGAATGTCTGGGTGAATGCTATCCATGCTGCTGCTCTCTTGCTCCTCCTGCTCCACCCACCCAAGCACTATGGGCTCATTAACACCCACTCCCATGCCGGCTGCACGCTACATTACATTATTGACGAAACTTGTGCTTTTCAGCTTTGTGCCGAAAAAATCATTTAGCCATTAATTACAGCACCCTGAGCAGCGCTCTGTGTCTCCGGCAAATGAAAGCTCTCTCACGCAAGCTCCGACTCCAGTGGCTAGGGGAAAACTGCGGAGGAGAAGGCCAGACTAAATATATTATCTGTGGCGATCAACGAGAGCGGGGTCAGCGGGTGCATCTGTTTCATTAGACCCCGGCCTCCATTAAGACTCTGATGGGAGCTAAAGAGGGAGAGGCTGAAAGCTTTTCTGGGCTGTGAGTGCTTGTCTGAAAGGTGTGTCCCAGGCTGGCCTCAAAGGCCTAGACACGCAGATCTCCTGGCCCCTTAACACAGGGAGGGTAAAGAATACAGACCACTCCGTTAATAACATCTTTCCATGAGACGGCTTCCAATATCTCCCGACACGATCCAGTAACAGATTCCATTTCCAGAGCTGAGTCGTGGGGTGTTTTGCTCAAGCCCTCCCATTACTCCACTTGCATCTGTTGGACCCTGTCACTCTTACACCACTCTGTGAGCAGGAAGGATGAACTAGAGCTTGAAATGTTTGAAAGCTTCAAATTTCATGTTTAGGCCTCCAGGAGCATTTTGGCCTTATTT